GAATTTATAGATTCAGTAATATTTTCAGATAAACTTTCTGCTTCAGATTGCATATTGTCATTGGTATCTATAGATTCAGTAATATTTTCAGATAAACTTTTTGCTACAGACTGCTTGTTTTCATTATTAGATATTTCTGTTCCAATATAGTTTTGAGAGTCATTTTCTTCCTCAACTTCCATTTGGTTTAAATGATCAAGGGTATTTAACGTATCTTCTTCTTCCAAACATTCGTCAAGGACTTTGTAATCCTCTCCTCCTATCATAGCTGCTTCTGAAGTTTCAAAGAAATAAAATATTGTTAGGTTATTATTGAATATTATATTTGAAATGACCTATAATACGTCAAATGTATGTGAGACCTTTAAATTTTAAATAACAGAAAATAAAAACATATTGTTAAAGAAAATGTTTAATTACCCATTGCGAAACGATTTTCTTTCCTTGCGAAGTCACACGGTTACTTAAGTACGATTAATATTAAGCTAGAATAGTAAAGAATTTGTAAATAAATAAATRTTTCAAGCCTTAAACATAAATATAAGTTATCGTAATAGTTGACGTAACAAAGGATACATGCACATTATATTTCATGAAATACATTATACATATATATACATATATCAAGATTTTTACTATAAATGTTAATTTTACTAAATATAATTTCTTCTTCCATTTGCTTTTAAATACAATTATTAGAAATTATTTTATCCATAGATATTTCATCTTGTGATATTATAGAAACGAATAATAATAATAATTTTCTATATAATTAGTGTACTAGAAATTGACGTGCTTACCGGACAATGCGTATTCAGAGAATCACGTGATTATTAAAACCACATTCATGCCTTTAACGTTCATTCATTAATTACTTTTTTACGTAGTAGTATCGAATCATAGCGCACCGTAGAAACCAGCTGATTGTAGTACCATGTAAACGAAGCTTTAGATTGTATGCGTATTGTGAATGAAGCATAATAGTAGGAGCAGTAATGGCGCTCATGTTTGAATTGTCAAAGATTCATTCATTCATTCATTTATTCATTTATTTGTATTCATTAATTATATCATCGTGTTTTTATTAAGCACAAAAGTAACAGTAATTTATACTTATCACAAAATATTTTGAAAGAAATTAAATGTTTAATTAGTGTATTAATTAGTGCATAATGCTTTATGCAATCACGTTTGTAATAACATTTTTAAGACAAATAACTATAAAAATTTATTGTCATAATTGTTAGGAAAATTATATATGTAGTAATAGTACTGTATAATTGAACAAACAACAAAATTGAAAACGTGTATTACAAATGACATTATTTTTTCTTTCTGGAAGAGTATTTTGTTCTTTATGCGCATGCATGATGTCAAAACATTTATTTAAAATTGTTTAGAACTTGAGAAATTTATTAATTTAATATATTTTGAAAAATTCAAACTAATTTTATAAGTTTTTTCTTCTTATTTAGATGAATAGATTGTATTATACGTGTAATTGGAAAACATAAAAAACAGAGAGCAATTTTTACTATTAGTTATTTATCACATAAACAAATTATTTCTAAGATTTTTCTTATTTAATAAATTTAATTCATCATTCAATTTCATATTTAACCGCCTGCGCGTAACATCTTGCGCACAAGGAATAAAATTACTTTCTCTGTCTCATTTCATGGGTGAACCTTTCACTCATAAGGATTTTGAAATATAGTACTATACTACATATATAAAAAAAAAAAATTAAAAAAGAAAAGAAAACGATAAATACAGTAGTTATAAATTACATAATAATTAGAAAAGATAGTGTATATAAAATCGCAAGACACCGTAATTAAAACTCCATTGATTTCTTCCAGTAATAAACAGGTAATAAGATAGAAAAAAAAAATAAAAAGGAATATTTGGCGCGAAATAGAATTGTTCAAAATCGGGTTTGATTATACAAAAGGAAAGGAGAAAATTAGGAAGAAAAAGAAAAGACAAAGACAAAGAAAAAGAGAGAGTGAGAGAAAGAGAGGACAAAGAAAAGGATAAAAGTGGTAAAAGAGAGAAAGAGCAATGAGAAAAGGTCGAAGGGCGCAGACGCGACTCTTATGGATTTTCCCCTCGCCGCCACCCTCTACGAAGTGGAACCTGGTAAAGGCAATATGTATAGGAGGTTGATGGGGTAGATGCAGAGAAGGAGAAGGAGAAGGAAGGGATGGTGGGTGATGGTTGGAGGTGGAGGTGGAGGTGGTGCTAGAGAATCTATCGAAAAGGACAGAAGCGACGGGCTGGGTCGCTCGTCTAGAAGCTAAACGTTAGCTCTGTAGCTCTGCAGTTTATTACGCGCGCGAGTTTTCATCAGAGAAAGAGAAAAATAGAGAAAGAAAGAAAGAAAGAAACGACAGCTAGTTGTCTTGAGCGCGCATAAGCGCTCTGGGTAGCACTCTTGTAAGAAACAACATATCGTATAGTCGAACTTTAAAGGGTTGAACGCGTCTTCTCTTTCTTCCCCCACCTTTTCCTTTTCGACATGTGACGCGACGGTGTTCGACGACGTTTCGTCGAACGACGTCTGACATCGGTCCTGCAGTATCTTAAGGACTTACGCGTCTCTCGACGACGTCGTCGACATCGTCGTCGTTTTTGTTATTGTTGTTGCTATTGTCATTGTCATTTTCGTTGTCATTATTACCGTTCTTTAACGCGGTCGACCACGTGGTGGTGAACGAGCTTCGTATCGAGAAGGTTTACTTTATGGTATGTATGAGACACGTTATATATACATACATATATACATATATGTATATGTATATATATATCATCTGTCGTCTATGCTTTGGATTCGTTATCGTATTATGTATATCCTTCTAACTTATTTTTCTTTCTTCCTTTGGATAGATCGATCATCATTAATATTTTCTATCACCTAACTAAATCTCTTACGTCAGTTTCTGTCTTTTCCTTATATGAGCCTTTTATCATATCTTTTTCTTTTCTCTTTTTATTCGATCTAATCTATCTATCTATCTAGCTAGCTAGCTAGCTAGCTAGGTATCTATTTTTCTTTCTTTCTTTCTTTCTTACTATCTGCCGTTAGTTTTCCTTTCTATCTAACGATGCGATTCATTTCTTTTGCTTTTTCTTTTTCTAAATGAGAAATAATTTCATTTAGACAAATACCAATTTTATAACTGCATTCCAAATACAGTAGAGTTTTCAAAAAATGAACTTGTAATTGTAACGATTCATAACATGCAAGGAGGAAATACTTTTTCATTAGTATAAAGAATGTGAGACACATATCATTTTCTTGAAAAGAAATCTTAGGAAAAAAAAAAAACAAGTTTGTGATCATTTATAATCTATAAATATATGTATACATTATACATGGTACTTTGTGCTCGCATAAGATTAGATATAAATATCTTGAAAGTAGTGTGTTTACACAGTAGTGTTAAGCACGCGTGCATTAATGTATAAGTATATATAATATATTTATATACATAAGTGTTTTTGCGCGTTTGATGTTTCTTGGTGGATTACGTGCAAGAAAAATATCGTGTAGAGAGAAAAAGGGAAGGAGAATTAGGGAGTAGGCACACAAAGGTTGATTTGTCCGCGTACACTCACGCGATTCACTCTTACCGGCACAAATCGAATTTTAAATTTACCTATTAACTTTAAACTTTCACATTTTATAAGATCCCAACGTGGGTTAAGATCACGTTCGAATAAACTTATCGAAGAAAAGTAGAATTCAAGAAATTAGAATTAATTAATCGGTCGTTTATCTCAGCTGAAACCTTATACCTTTCATCCTCCGATTTTTGTCTGTAGTCTTAATCTTACACAACTTATTACACCGATTAGCTGTACCTTTGTCATCATCGACATCCACCTGATAAATTATTTTATTTTATTTTTTTTTATATCGTATCACATATTTACGTATGTCCACAGTATCGCAAATGAAATTAGCATTACAAATTAGCTATACAGTATACAGTACTGTAACGCATTGACACATATTTTTTTGTTATTATGCTACTGTCCGTTCACGAGAATAACAATACAATCACTGACCGTGTCGACACTAGAAAAAAGACTATGAAAAGATAATTTAAATTTCTGTACATATACATATATGTTATATATAAAATTTCCATAAAAATTATTTGCTATTATTTGTTAAGTATACGCGCAATGTATTTCACCGTGTCGAATGTACTCATTTTTACAATCCAATTTAAAGAAATAAATGTCATAAATCTTTTTTCGAATTGTTAAATAGATTTTGGATTCCAGATTTTTCATTCAATCCTATAGGTAATAAATAATTCAAGGGATTTAATATGGGTACTTGGACAGCTAATAAATGGGCTTATCGCAACTGACGTGATACACATTGCGTGTTACTTTTTTAAAATGTACAGATGTTTATAGATATGTTTTTTATTCTTAACATGATCACATGTCAGAAATTGTATTCAAAATTGATGGTCTATCTTTGCGAACCACCATGTATATTAGGAACATTCATAATTTCTTTTAATATCACGTATTATATAATATTACAAATTGGTATAGATAATGACAGAGAGAAAGAAAGAAAGAAAGAAAAAAAGAAAGAAAGAAAGATGATAAATAGTTCAATAGTGGGCGTACTAATCATAGCTCATAGATTGTAGTTATTTCATTGATAAAATCATATGTTGCAATAATGAACTTGATAAGAAGATTTTGTTTTAAATAAATAAACGATAATAAGAGAATTTCTTTTTTCAAACTATTATAATATTCGAGACACTTATCTGTAAGTGCAATAGGTATTTATTGTCTTCGTAATAAGGTTTGTTACAATGATACAATTGATTAGAATGAAGGATAATTGTAATCGTTTCGATTAAAAAGACAGAGCTGGTTTGTTAACCGCAACGATGTTGATCATAATTAGATGATAATTAGATGTTAAACAGGTATAGCTAAAAATATAAATAGATGATGAATGAACACAGTATATGGATTGTCACGAAAAAACGTCTCGTTTAATAAATAACAAAAGAGGTATATAAGATGTAGAGTATAAAAGATTAAAATTAAATGTATCATTAGAATAAACTTAGTTTGTGATTATGTAAGTATTATCGACGTATTATCGATTTATTATCGATACGTCGAAATACGAGAAAGAACAGTCTGAAACGAGCAGCAGCCAATATCATTTGAAGACAAATTTATGATCGTGTAAAAAGAAAATATTTATTCTTTTCCATTTGATCAGAATTCTGTAGGAATAAAATGTGCTTTATTTATTTTCATCAACAAAAAAGGCAAAATAAAAAAAAGATATGACTTATTATTTTTTTTTTTTTTTTTTTTTTTTTTTTCTTTCTCTCGAATGCTTTAGCTCGGCCGAATGTCGTCGTCACACAAAAAACAGAAGGAGTCAAGAAGGAGAAGGTAGAAGAAAAAGAATTTCATTTTCTTGAGTAGGAGACTGACGGCATGGGTCTGCCGCGTTTGTCGTTGAAGAGATGCTTCCTTTACGTGTTTTGTTTGACGGGGATGTTGCTGGTCCTTATGAACGTACGTCAAAAGGAGATCTGGCATGCGATGAGATCAGATCCAATTCAAGTGCAATCTCTTCGCGTACTTGGTGACACTACCAAGGTATTATATATTTATATTATTTGTAGTATTTGTAGTATTAGTTTTGATTTTTATATTGGTATGCAAAATCGATAATACAAATAATAATGAAAAAAAACTGTAACTGTCTGATAAGTTATGTCGGAATTTTTATTATAGAAAATACAATACGTATTGTTCATTTTCATAAAGATATATAAGGTAGCAAATATATTGAACATCATTAAAAATAACTATAGTAATTGAACAATATAATATATCACTATTATTTAATAAAACACAAATCAATAAAAATTCTGACATTGGTTAACACGTTCCGTGCCGATTTTCCATTGATGCCGCGTGGGGCGTATAGGACCCACACGGGCACGAAACTTGTTAAAATCCAATTCATAGGTAGATGAAAAATTTGATTTCTAATAGGATTATATCGATTTTTTTGGTACTTTATCGATCGATTTTCAATTTTCTTTTTAGTATTTTTGTTTTTTTTGTTTTTTGTAATACTAAACGTAGATACTTTTTCTCTATGTATATGTATTTGTGTGTAATCAATAAGATTGCGCAGCCCAAAACGCTGCACGATAATATCGATCGGCCTACGTACTCTTTAGTGTTCCTTAAAACATGACTATGGATCGATATTATCAGGTGTACGAAGGCTTTGCACATTGTGATATATTCTGTCTGTTTCTCTGTCTCTCTCTCTCTCTATTTTTTCTCTATCACTTTCTCCATTTATTTCGCGCACCTTCTATTTTAGAGTTTGATACTTTTCAAGCGTAAACTACTCTCTCTTTTGTACCATCCCGAGTGATCTTTTTCTTTCGCATTATGAAACGACGATTATTATCGTTCTATGAAAAAATTGTTTGTCCAAACAAGAAAATGTTGTTATCTTTCGTTTCACGATACATCACGCATTTATTCAACACGAACGCGCGAACGAACGTGATGAAAGTAATAAAAAAAAAGAAATACATTTATAATATAAAATGAATTGAAACGAATTTAATTTTATAATAAAAATTATTTTGAGAGTTTATATGTGCTTATTAAATGTAGGCGAAAAAAAACAAGAACAATGAGTTTATAGAATGAGTTTAAACGTGGTAGCAATTTCTAAAGAGCTAAATTTCAGTCGCAGATGAAACATGATTGGCCTTTGAAAACGAAGAAGTCGACGATACGGATAATGCAAACGATTCGAGAGACGATCAAGAGAAAAGACGTAATTAACGAGGTATATTTAGTTGAAAATAGATCGCAAGGTTAAATATTATAATAATACGTGCGAAAGAGAAACAATTAGCTTGCCTTATCGACGTTACTTACATAAAACATATGTGACTTCTTCTATTTTTTCACAGTAAAATATCGCATAAGTAGTTGTTAGTTAAAGCAGCGATTAATGGCTTTTTACTGATTGTCTAATCGGGCTTTTAGTTTTTGCAATTAATCGTTAGCCTTCGCTTAAATGCATATACACATAAATACATCACTTTATCTCTCCCTCTCTTTCTGTCCTTTTTGAATATGCGTGTTTGTGTTTCTATGTCTTCTTTATCATCTTGTTTCGAATTACGAGGTCTAGTTTTGTTCTTCGTGGCTTACCTATTTTTCGATCAACATATCGTTTTGTAAATTATTAAATAATTGCAATTTGAAAGATTACATATAGATAATTAGGTATAATTTTCCAAAAAAAAATATTAAAATTGCATTTATATGTAGGTGGGACATTTATTTTAGTGTTAGTATTGTCAGAAAGAAAAAAAGCAGACTTTGAAGATAATTTTAATTTGATATATTAAATATTTGTCTGTTGTAAATTCCTACATATAATCTCCTAAAACTATACTAATTTTAATGTATAATATAATTAGTATTATATAGATAACTATATAATAGTATACAAGCTTGTTAGAAATGAACTTTTCTTTGCATTAAATAATAGAATATTATATGTAGAAAGCGTTTTAGATTGGTTTTTTTTTTCTTATTGATTTTTATTATTATTCTTTTTTTTTTTTGTTAAATTTCATTGCAATGATCACAAAAAGATTAGCCGAAATTTGATGTATAACAATATGTATTATATTTACATGTATGATGTATAAAAATGATTGTGCAGCGGATATTTCCTTGTTTGTGATTTTTATTTGTTTCTTTATTAAAAAAAAAAAAAAAAAAAACCAAAAAAAACCAAAAAAAAACCAAAAAACAGCTGAATTCGACTGGAACGACGATCTTGTCGGAAAATTCGATAGATTCTTTGGCCCCATCGATAAGACCATGGTATATGAAAGGTGGAACAAGAAGACCACATCCAGCTGCCAAATCTCGTCGTACTGGTCGAAGATTAGCACGTTTGTGGCCAGAAGAGGATACTTACGATGACCGTGTGACTAATCAAGTATGCCATTAGTTTTATATCAACACGAATAACAACGAATTTCAATCATTGTAATATGAAATATTCCAAAAGTTATGGATTGAAAAAAATAAATAAATAAATACAATGTTAGGAGAGATTATTTCCAACAAGAAAAAGCTTTATATTTAGATATCTGATTTCTCATACGAAATAAATTATGATTTATGCGTGTTAAAGTACAATAAGGTACAATATTACATATTACAGGGAAAGGTTAAAGTATTTCTTTGTTGGAAATGAATTTCTTTAGGTTTGATTGATGACTTTTAAGATACCACGTTATAGAATAGACGAATACGTCTATTCTATAATCTATATTCCATAATACGAAATACAAATACGAATAGACCAACGTATTCATCTTGAAATATTTTCTTTTAGTTGATGTTTCTGCCACCTGATTACAATCGAACGGAAGAACATAGATTTAAAAAAATAATGGTACCTCATGGAATGGGAGAGGCCAAGGTTGGTTCAGACATTTTCGTTCAACATCGTTGTCCTGTTAACACGTGTACCATCGTTCGTGACAATCCAAATGAGGCTGATTTAATTTTATTCAAAGATTATGTAACATACGTGGGGCGAAGACCTCGTAATCAGGTGTGTAGAATATTTCAACATGTTGAATACATTTAATATTAATATTATTGATCGTGTTTGTTGGTAGGTTTGGATGCTGTATTTTTTAGAATGTCCTTATCACACGCAAAGCGTGAAAAATGCTCTAATCAATTGGACGGCTACTTATCGTCGTGACAGTGACATTGTTGCACCCTACGAAAGGTGGCAATATTACGATTCTAGTATTAAACAAATATCTCAAACGTTTAATTATGCTGCTAATAAAACGAAAAAGGTAAATATATAAATTGGAAATGTATTTTAATAATTATTACAAATACATTTTGTTTTCTTATATATTTCCAATAAGGTCGCATGGTTCGTTTCCAACTGTCATCCACGAAATCAACGTATGCATTATGCCAAGGAACTGTCAAAGTACATTCAAGTAGATATTTACGGTGCCTGCGGTACGTTACGTTGTCCTCGTTCACAGTCGCAAACTTGTTTCGATATGTTAGACGAGGATTACAAATTTTATTTAGCATTTGAGAATTCCAATTGCAAGGACTATATTACGGAAAAGTTCTTCGTGAACGGGCTTGGGTATGGAATTTGTTATCAACCTTTCTCTGCATAATACATTTGAGAATGATCTCGATAAGCTTTTACAAGCAGCATGTACCTTTTAACTCTTTGAGCGCTGAATAATGAACTAAAACATAAGTTTATTAAAATGAATAATTTTCAGTCACAACGTTTTACCAATTGTAATGGGAGCACATCCAAGCGATTATGCACGAAGTGCACCGTATAGATCTTACATTCACGTGGATGAATTCGCATCGCCAAAAGAATTGGCAACTTATCTTCATCGTTTGGATCACGACGACGAACTTTACAATTCGTATTTTCGATGGAAAGGCACGGGAGAATTTATCAACACATTTTTTTGGTGTCGAGTATGCGCCATGTTGCACGACGATCGTCCTGCCAAATTTTATAAAGATGTTAACGAATGGTGGAGGGGAGAAGGTGTTTGTACGACTAGTTCTTGGCGTGAACACGAAAGCTCGAAAAAAGCACGCTTGAGGAATACCTGAGAACATATTCCCTGAAATGTTTTGCTAAAAGAATCTCAAAAATAACTTTCGGAATGTTTTTTTATTCTCCAAAATCGATTTTCTTATCATCATCATCATCATCATCATTATTATCATTATCATCATCATCGTAAATAAGGGATTTGAAAAGGATGAAAACGATAAAACAATCACGACGAGTTTTGATTAATTCGTCCAAGCTTCTTCGAATAATGGTATATATTATTATATTAGCGTTATATGGTGTTTGATCACATATCCTATACGCATGGATGTTAATGACACGAATTATCGTCGTAATTTTGATTATTATATACCTCTTCGTATGAAAATTCTTCTAATATTCAATGAAGGGAAAATTTTCTATGGTAAATAACAAAATAATCGTATCGTGTGGTGAGATACGATGCCGTCTAGTTGGAATTGCAAACATTGACTCGTATCACTAGAACATTTCGTCATCTAGTCAAAGAAAATAATATATATCTAGGACGATAAAGTGAGATAACTTATTATTATTATTATTAAATATATCATTTGAGTTATTTAGCGAGATCACAATTTAGTCTAGTTAACTTAAAGAAATAAAAAAGAAAAGAATCGTCGAGTTACTTTGATAAGCAGCGATAAAGATCGTATGTCGTCGCTTTTCTTCTAGGTTCCTACGATATTAATATTTAATAAATATAATATAATATACTGTGCGCACAAGCAGCTTAGGTATTAGAACAAATTGATGCAGAATATATTTCAAATAGATGTACCAAAGCGATCAAGCAAAATATTGATGAAAGCAGCATGACAAATTCTAGTACCTTTGCCTTGATAAAACCAAAAAAGAAAAAAAGCAAGAGAAGAAGGAATATAAAATAGTTGTTTTATAAAAATAATGTATAATTGAAAAGGGTAACGTGACTAATGCAAGTGCTCGCATTTTAGTATTCAATCATATTTGCAATAATAACTTTCGTTATTATCATCATTTAAGTATTACATTTTTCTTTACTCGTTAATTTTTTAATTTATTTGTTGTTCAATTAAACCATTGTATATTTATACAAATAAGTACATCGAAGAATCCCATCGAGTTTTGTTAAGTAATAATAGTAATCTCTCAACATTAGTGATAGAAGTAATAGTAGTAGTAATAATAGTAGTTGTAGTAGTAGTATTACTAGAAATAGTATGAACAAAATTTTTTTCATTGATCGTTATCAATTGCGTTTCTTATCATTCCTCTCTCATAAATTTGGTGCTGCTTTATAATTGGTGCTGATGTACGGTGTATGTGTGTAAAAAAGATACAAACCGAATATGTGTAAGAAAAATAGGTAACCAAAGAAAGAAAATAACAAAAAAAAAGTAACAAAAACAATAAATATACAAGGCAGAATAAAATTGAAAAATGCATAGAACGTACACGTACTTGCAATTTAGTATAATAAATAAATAAATAAATACCACGATGTTATTACATATATGAGAATAATTATTTATTGAAGTGATCACTCGCTGTGAGAGATTAGATAGGGCTATTAATAAATAATTATATATAAATTATATATAAATAATATATGATAGCTGGTAACGCGTCTGTCGTTTTATTCGTTGTATAGTAAGAAGTAAAAAAGACAAAACAAAAAAAAGAAAAGGAAGAAAACCAAAAATGGAGAAGACTCTCTATATAATAATAATAATAATAATAATAATAATAATAATAATAATAATAATAATAATTATAGAATAATAATATCTAACGTAGAAATACGTTATCGTATTCGTAAGTAAATAATATGTGGAATTTATCAAACGACGAATATCGTATCGATATTATCATTCGTTCTCGTAATATCGTCGTTTCAAATATCGAATTGATAATTTCATAAATAATTTATATTTCTTGATAAAAAAAAAATGGAAAAACATGCTACTTATATCTGCCAGCTTTCTTCTTCTTCTTCTATGTTTGGCGAAATGCATTTACATATATACATACATATACATATATCGTGATAGTCGTTTTATCGTTTATAAATATCCAATGGTATCGATATGATTTGTACGAGAGAGATTCATCGTATTGTATACCTTAAACAATTCCAATTGTTTTAACTTTTTGCGAGATTAGTCATTTTAAAAGTACATTGAGAGAGTTAGATCTACCTAACGAGGAATTTATAAATTAATTCTAAAATTACGATCGGTTCGGTTCATTCAAAATAGACTGTGTTTCACGCATTTCAATCAAAAGAATGAAAAGATATTAAAGAAGATAAATTTGTTAGATCGCGTTTAGATAATTATTCTCGACTGCGAACTAGCGAAAAATATGAACGAGAGTGAGTAATCGTATAAATATTCTATGAATATTATAGCGAAACGTTTGTATATGCATACTTTACATGTCATCATTATACAATGAAATATTAATATTAGATTTACGGACTAAATATTATTTTTAAAAAAATAATTTGTTGGTTTTTTAGTTACGTAATGAAATATACGTAAATATTAATTCCTATCCTTCATTTAAACAATGTTTATAAATCATTCCAAAATAATAAACAAAACATCCATAAATCTAATGTTAATTGTATTATAATATCAGCGAAATCGGTGGTATCGTTTTATGTTTTATTATAAAAAAAGAAAAAGATAAATAGACTGTTGTCAAATTTCAACACACAGTCTTACGTCTTTGTCCAATTATAAGTACTTACATAATTAATAAAATATTTACGTAAACATTCGCGCAAATTATTCTGCGTTGAAACGAAATATAACAGAAAGAAGAAAATAAACATTTTCTAAAATTGCGATTTTTTTTTTCTTATCTTTCAAATATAATTCTCCTCAAATCCAGTTGTACAATTGTTCTTATATATATATATATTTTTTTTGCATTTCCCTATTCAGCAAGTATTATGATATTTAATTAATCGAATTGAAATATTATTTTCACTTTGTATATCTTGTAGAAAAACTTTCATTAGTTTATTATTTGATAGAAAAATATCTTTCTAATAAATTCGTTGTTTGAATAACATTTTAATTAACAAAGTTAATTATTTCAAATTCTAATAGACGTTACTCATTAGTAATTAGAGATTCTTTATTATCAGGGAGAGAAAGAGAAAAAAAAAGAAATATAATTGAATCGAGACAATTATCGTGAGAAGTTAAAAAGGTTTAATAAATGTTGAAAATAAAGATAAACATTGTTTCTTTCGAGAGGTTTTTATTAAAGAGAAATGAGAGGACAAAGTTTTGACGGAATTGAAAAGATAGAATTGTAGATGTGTAAGTTAGATATGAATGTGTATATATAGAAAGTATAATTATTAAAATCTTTTATCATTTGAAAATGGAAACTCTTCTCTAGAAACTTATCCTTCGGCAATGCAGGTTATATCAAAAAGGACATAGTTGAAAATAGAAAGGAAAGAGATAAAGATGAAGTAAATAGAAAGAAAGAGAAGAATAAAGTTTATCAAACTAATTTGCCATTAAAATGGAAGAGAAAGAGGATAAACCAAGAGAGAATATCTTATTAAATCTCAGGGTTATAAAGGAATAAACCATAACTTCATCGGTTTCACGTTAATTACACTCGTAGTTTACTACCCCCCTTTTAAACTAATGAAATATTACATACATACATTTTGCTGCATTATATATGCATACGTAGGATAAAGTACATAGTTGATAAAAGCATTTCTAAAATAATTTCGTTTCTTCGTTGACCCATTTGGAAATGAAAAATCTATCGTTAATCGTCTTCTCTCTCTCTCTCTCTCTCTCTCTCTCTCTTTCTGTGTGTTACACCTCAAACCCATTATCACCACTTATGGGGTGTCCAAAGTAAATACTTATTTTCCTCTTTTCATGAGTATAACATCATAAAAAAGTATGAAAATTATGATTAAGTTAGACAATTTTCTTAAATAGAGGCGAATATCGAAAGAATAAAATGTCATACGAATAAAAAAAAAAAAATGATTGAATAAATTAGATGGAATGATTTGACACAATATGAAAGATAAATATAAGATAAAAAATTGTTGTTTAAAAATAAATCAACATATTACGTAGAGCCGTGAAACGAGTAGTGAAAAAAAAAATGTTTAGCTGAACGTGTAGAGAAAAAGAAAGATAAAAAAAAGGTAATCCGACTAGCGAAAGATTTAAGAAGGGAAGCCCTTTGAAAGGGCATTTCACGACGATTACACATTGGTGGACTTCGTGGATCAATCTGTACGGACGATTGCGTTTCTAAACTGCAAATTACACAGCTCATATCATTTTCTGCTTTTTCTTTTATATTTTCTTTTTTTTTTTTTACTTGTATTCTTTTACACTTTAACATTTTTTCAATTGGGTAATGTTGGTTGTGTCAAGTAAGTTTTATTTAACATAAAATTTGTTTATTCGTTTTTCTGTTTTATTCTTTCGATATATGCAAAAATGAATATATATATATATATATATATATATATATATATANTATATATATATATATATATAAATAAATGTTTTTATTATTTAGAGAAAAATGGCAAGTTAATACTTAGAGTTAATACGCAGTATGAGATAAGTAAATAGCATTGTTTTTCTCGGTTTACCGCACTTATCGCTACACAGCATGAATCAATGAAATCCCACTTGGGGAACGAAGGTAAAAGCAATTAAGGCATAACGTTTGAGAGGAAACCTCGTATAATCGAGAGATTCGATCTCCTCGAGATTAATGAGTTGTGACATTCATCATCTATTTAATCGTAATATTTTATTCAAGAAATTTGATCTCGGTAAATACACGGAATTAAAGATGAAATAGAATTTTTTTTTTCTGTAGATAATTATTTTCGGATGTATTTTATGTATTTATGCATATAAAAAAAAATGATCAATGAACTTATAAATTATTCGTAAAAATAAAAAAAAAATAAAAATACAAAATTGTACTAAAAAGGAAAGATAAAAGATGAAAATTTGTTATTGGATATTGATATATAATACGAGCACGTATAAAAGTACACCATTCAATCGGATTCGTTCGTTCGCTCGTTCGTTCGGTATGTTGAGGATAAGTTAGCACAGGCATAGTGTAAACCAAAGGATATAAAGTTTAAAAGGCAAAGCTAGTTCGTGATGTGTCAGGAATCACAGGATGCGTATCCAGAGCACGCGCAGAAGATAGGAAGAACACGCCCAGCATCTATACTCGTAGCTCGGTCAGTCAGCAGGTATGCAAACGTTTTAACGTTATTGTACAAAAGTACATTTTTCCAGATGAACGAATAAACAAATGTCAGATGATGAAAATAAAAAGAAAAAGAAAAAGAAAAAGATAAAAAACAAACAAACACACACGAAATATGACAAAGAATTTTTGTTCCACAACTTTGGTGGTTTGTCTTTTTTTCTTTTTTTTTTTTTTTTCTTTTTCACCGTTGCTTCTTACTTAATTACTCCCAAAGGATTTCGAGTAATCGAATATGGGGGAATTCTTCTATGTGAAATCAATAGAATAATTGGGTCGAACCCTAAGGATTTCAACGACCCTGACATACTTTTAAAAACGATCAAACTAAAGAAACTTTTCTCTATAGCTTGGATAAAAGTCCTTTCATAGAAAATTCATCTTGTTTCTCATAATTACGAGCTTTTATCAGGTTTATGTGTATCACTTATTTTCAAAAGATTCAAATTTGATCTTATTAAAGGAATATTGTATGTCATCGTTGTAATCCTTCGTATTTCTCACCCAAGTTGTATTCTTAATTGTCGAAGGAATAATTGGATATGTTATAGGACATGATAACACGTGAGAATTCTGTTATTAATTCATTCTGTCAAGTATGTGGGTTAAGTGGGCACTCGGTTGCTAAAGATGAATGTACCATCCCTCGTTAATACAGAGAATGCATGCGTTACAGCCTTTTGACCGATTAATTATGAGCCTCGCAATACTATGTTCTCAAATCAGATTCTAATCCTAAATTTGTACTCGTTCAAACGTTCCCAAGTATATCAAGCGGCGGTCAACTTAACTGATAAGAGAACGTAACATATTATTTTGTATATACTTGCTGTTATAGATAAAAGTTTCCATTTGAATTTTCTTATCGTTTGTAATCTTTGTATTCGTTGGAAATATAATAGACGTTGAAAGAGAGATTTACAACGTAAAGTGAAACGTATACTCGAGGTTATCACTTGATCGCTTTATCAATGTATTTAGCAAGAACGTTTCTAAAATAGTTTGCGTTTTGCCTTGGTTTTACGATCAACGATTACAAATGATCAGATATATTACTAGATAAAGATTTATTAATCATATAAATTTGACTGCATTAAATAATTTCGAAAGAATACAAAATAATCGCGATAGAAACTATCTAAAGAAAATTTGATAAATAATATTATATTTGAAATTGTGTTCACGTAAGACGAGAATTTCCTGCGTCGTAATTAGATCTTTTTGGAAAATCGATAAAATAATAAATTTCATCGACGTAAAAGCGTGTTATTTGTAGTTTCTAGATGGAGAAGAGAAGTAGCAGCTTTCTTCTAATTTATTTAAAAGTAAGCTCTTATATAGAATATTATATATATGTAAATACATATATAAAAGGTTAAAATA